AAAAAAAAAAAAATAAAAAAAAAAAAAAAAAAAAAAAAAAAAAAAAAAAAATCAATAAATGCTTGTGACATTTTAGAGAAATTGGAGCTTTTATATATTGCTGTTAGGCATTATAATTGTATACCCAATTAGGAAAACTTACTTTTCTTAAAAATTAGAACATTAACATACAACACCCAGTAGAACAACTTATAGCCACACAAAGAGTTGTAAGTGAACATTCATAGCATCATTATTCATAATAGCCAAAAAGTGGAAGCAACCCAGATGTTCATCAACTGATGAATGGATTTTTAAAAAGGAGTAAGTCCGCATAATATAATTACATTCTTCAGTTTAAAGGGACAAACTACTAATGCACTATAGAGCATGGTAGAGCGTCAAAAATATGCTAAATGAAAGAAGCCAGACCCAAAGGCAGGACCAAAACAGAAAATATATAAATGCTTTTCTTTGGCTAAAGTGGGAATGGAGGTGGATTGCAAATCATTTTGGGGAGTGCTATTGTCTGAATGTGTTCCCCAAGGTGCATATTTTGAAATCCTAACTCACAAAAATGATCATATTAGGAGGTGAAGCCTTTGGGAAGTGCTTAAGGCATGAAGGTAGAGTTTTCATGAATTTGTGATTAGTGCCTTATAAAAGAGGATCTATCTAGAGAGATCTCTAGCCACTTTACCGTGTGAAGACACAGCAAGAAGGCTTTGAACCAGGAAGAGGGTCTTCACTGGAATGTGTCCAGGCTGGTGCCTCGATCTTGGAGTTTCCAGCTTCCAAGACTGAGAAATACATTCCTGTTTTTTAATAAGCAGCCAGCCTCTGGTATTTTGTTGTAGCAGCTTGAACAAACTAAAACAGGAGATGATATAAATGTCCTAAAACTAGATTTTTGGTGATTGTTGCACAACTTTATAAATTTACTTAAAATAATTGTACTTATACTTGCAATTGATAAATTTTATGGCATATAAATTATATTTTATAATTAAAGCTATAAAAGTATGAATCAGCTAATAGTCATAACAATGAGTCTGACTAATTGTTAGCCACCACTAACCTAGAGGAGTAAAAGTGGCACTGTGCACGTTAGTGCCATTAAGCATTGGCCAGATTGTTAGCTATTTAAAAAAAAAAAAAGTTTTGCTAATTCTTACACTCATGTCAATGACCAATAAATACTATCACTCACTATGCCTTGGTGGCTCAAAAAAAGCTTTAATGAAATGAGCTGTATCTTATTAGGGTATGAGAGAGCTAAATCATTGTTTGATCTTGCCCTTGAACAACTGAGGAGTAATTAAAAACACTACTTAATCCCTTTATATCTCAAACACTTTATTTAACGGAGACCCATGAAACTAGTAAGTTGTCTGATAAAAGACATTTACAATTGAGAGCATAAAAAGAACATCAGTTTTATTGAGTAGGAAGCCAGGTCTGATTTGTAAATCTTAGCTTTTCAGATAATATTTAGCATAGAACAGTCAGTAGTCTTTATTTTACTCGACTTAAGAGGTATTTGTTGACAGTTTCAGGTCAGTGGAGTTTAGCTGCTTTAATTTTGGAAACATGGTACCATGATACCTTGAACTTGTTGACTGTCTTAGTCCATTCTGGCTGCTATAAGAAAGTCCCATAGACTGAGTGGCTTATAAACAACAGAAATTTCTTTCTCACAGTTCTGGAGGCTGAAAGTCCAATAGCTGGGCGCCAGCATGGTCAGCTTCTGGTGAGGACCCTCTTCCAGGTTGTCAACTGCTGTCTTCTCATTGTGGCCTCGCTTTGCAGAAAGGGCACTAATCCCATTCATGAGGGATCCACCCTCATGACAAAGGATCCACCTCCTGATACCATGACATTAGGGGATAGGATTTCAACATAATAACTCAGTAGGGACACAAACATTCACTCCATTACGCTTACCATAGTCATGAAATGATGTCCATACTCCTCAACAAGTTACATGAAACCTATTATAAGCCCATCTCAGCTTCCTCCTACAGTGTCCGCTCCTGTCGCCTCATCCATGCCGCGTATTCCAGCCACAGTCACCCTCTCACTATCCCTTGAGAAAATATAAGCTCTCAGAACTATATCCTTTAATGAAGCTTTCCTCAGACAGCCCCATTCCATTTTCTCCCTCCTCCAATTCACACAGCTATTTATACTTTGTTGCACTTATTCCAATGTATCACACCACTTATACCTGCAAAACTGTGCATTTCTCAAGGGAGAGAACGTACCTAAGTCCCAGTATAATATATGGCACATGGTAACGATTGAGTTGCTGGGTAAATGAATTAAGGATGAATGAGGTTCAGTTACTGTTCCTATCTTTTTAAAAAATACACAGCCTCAAACCTCCTCTTTCAGAGGAGGACAAATAGGACAGACTGATCACCCGGCCGGTGTGGCTCAGCGGTTGAGCGTCGACCTAGGATCCAGGAGATTGCGGTTTGATTCCCGGTCAGGGCACAGGCCCAGGTTGCGGGCTCGATCCCCAGCAAGGGGAGTGCAGGAGGCAGCCGATCAATGACACTCTCATCATTGTCATGTGAGGTCACATATGTGTTAATCAAGTTGTGGAAATCCTTTCACAATTTATACGTATATCAAATTACCACATTGTACACACTAAATATATTATAATTTTATTTGTCAGTTATATGCCAGTAAAGCTGGAAGAGAAAGAAATTCACAGATGAAATGCTAATAATAGTTTTAGAAATTTTATTTAGATAGTTGAGATAAAGCATATTTTTAAATAATATCAATAAACAGCTTTTGACATTTTCTTTGGTGATGAAATATAGAACTG